TAATAAATAGTAGTTTATTTATTGGTTGAATAAAAACAGCATTTAATTGGGATTATTGCCAATAACTATATTTATATTTGTATTTTTATTAAATTACTACTTGGGAAGAAAAAAAAAAGGATTTGAAATTATGAATGGTAACTTTCCAGATGGAAATAATTAGTCAGTGGTCATTATGTGCTGGAAGTATCATCAATTATGGAAACAGATTTACAATTTAGCATGGGTTATAACCATATTATAATCAAGAGAAAAAACAAATTGTGGGCTGGGGTGGAGAGTTCTGGAATAACAGTAATGATAATAATAAAGACAGGCAGTAAATAAATTTAACAAATAAAAAAATAAATAAGACCAGAGCGTAACTTATATTTACATAATTTTGAAAGAGAAATAGTCATCCAAACATTAATTACTTGCCATTTAATTAATCAGTGGAATTTCTGAATGGATTTTCACAAAGGCAAGAGAGAAAGAAGGGCATGGTACATATTATAATTTAAGTAATCGTCTTTATAAGTCAAGAAATTATGTTTTACATCTTTTCTCAATTTAGACAGATTAGTTTTTTGCTTAAGTAATAGCTGACCTGTGTTTGAGTAGTGGTAAATCCATTGTTCAGTACTGCAAATATATTGGGCAGACACGTATCCCATTTATAGAGACATTCATTCATGGAAAAGATGTCTTAAGTCTGGTTGAGAAAAACCATCATAAAGGAAAGGATCTAGTGAGCTAATTACACAGCAATTGTCTTCTAGGGGATCCAAAATTGGCCACTGTGGAAAAAAAAGACTCCAGAACTGGTTCTAAAAATCAAATTCTAATCTGACTCTTATCCTGTCATTCCTTTTGGCTTTGGGGTTGAACTTTTTTCACCTGACAATCCTGCATTCCTACCGCTGGCATCATGAATGTTTCTCCTAAGGACCCAAAATTGAGTGTTCTATCTAGATCTATCTATCTATCTATCTATCTATCTATCTATCTATCTATCTATCTATCTATC